CTAACGATATATGAGGGGACCTTACCGAAAATACACCAAAATGCTACCCAACTGCGACTCATTGCTCCCTAAACCCTGAACCCTAAACCCCTAAACCCTAAACCCCGAAAACCCTAAACCCCTAAACCCTAATTACGATCTTACCAGGCTCATTGGGTGAAGCTGCTTAGTCGCTGGGGCTCATCTCAAGCAGGGGAAGCCGATCCCTCAGGTGCCTAGGCCTAGCCATAGGCCCCCTAAGTAGTTCCTTTTTGGGATTACCTTATAGGATTCTAAACATATAAGCCATTAAAAAGGAACTACTTAGGGGCCTATGGGTAGCGCGGTTGTAAGTATAGTTGCCTTTTGCAGATTCGAATCTTCTGCAGTGTAATTTTAGTTGCCTCAAAGCCAGCGCTGTTTGCTACCCGCCCCTTGATTGACGTATCGAATCCTGGCTTGGGCTGTGCGATGTCCAGAGTCCAGAAGTTTGAGACAGTATCGCCTGGAAAAGTATGACAAGGTCATGAACATCTTCGAGACGGGTGTTACGGCTGGTGGCAATATGCCAGGTCCTGTCCTTTGCAAGGCTTCCCCCCCGTTCGGAGAGCCCCGATCCTTCTGCCCCAAGCCGTGCCACCACACCTCAAGCTCCTGAGCTTGCTGATCCTGAAGGGACCTTTAGTGATGAGGTCCCCCATTAGTGCCCTTTTAGCCTCACAGTTGTGCACGAGGAAACGGGGTACCCTTGCAAGTAAGGGATACTTGTGGAGCCTTTCGGAGCCTTCATGGACCCCTTAAAGCATCCCCTAACCCTAGGCCCTAAATCCTAAACCCCATCGTCAGTGAGGCTCGAAGCTTCTCACGCCAGCCTGAAAGCCGAAACCCTCCAGGCTCACGTCGTCACCGACCTGCTCGTCGAAGAGTCCCGTCGCTCTGGCCGGGTGGCCTCTTGGCTAAAGACCGGAACTGCCAAGTGCTCCATGCAATAATCGGATCGTGGCTCAGATCATGATGTGAATCTTGCAGTCGCAGGGACAGCATGGCTATCTCTAGCTGTACGTTCGGAGGGAGTTGTCTGTCTGTTGAGCACAGCATCGTCTCGACATTGCAACTACTTGCACGGTTGACAAATCCAATCTGCCTGCCACAGTTCGCGTCAAAACCGCAACATGTTTGCTTGGCATGCGCTTTCGCAGAGGGAGAGCTTTCCACTGGACCCGCGGACCTCGCAGACGTGGGGTCCATGTTGTGGTAAGCCCCTACATCTGGCTCGGCGCCCTCAAAGAGCTGGAACGTCCATCCTCTGCAGCTCTGCAGCCTCCTGGATAGTTCCTGGATATCCTTTAGCAGCTTTTGTGTTTATTTTATGCCTTGTGTAACTTAGCACATTAACTTGTATTGTAGAGCCGCATTGAAAGTTCTTATTAGCAGAAGGCTGCCTTCTTTTATGGCCGAGGTCCTGGCATCTGCATTTTGCAATGCAAGTCGTTGCAAACGTTGCAGGTGCAAATCGGATGCATCGCCAAGTCCTGCCGTGGGAGCCACCAAGCTGCTTGTGGATGGAGATACCCATAGCGTTGAAGATATCGAGGATGCCATCAAGCAGCTGGAGCAAACTGGTGCAAGGGTACACACAACCGTTTTTGCACCATCTGGTCGCGACAAACAAAAGAACTGGACACAATTCCTGCAATGTCATGCGGTGACGTTTCGCCCCGTCGACCGGAACTCGCGCAAAGATGGAGAAGCCACCGATGGTGCGATAAAATGTGCTCTGAGTACTTGCAACGATGACCAAAACTTGGCTCTCCTCACATCCGACTACGATTTCGTAGATGCCATTAAGCAATCAATGGACCGTGGCAGCCGGATATGTGTTTTCGTACCATCGAAAAAATGTGTGGTTATCGAGCGCTACCAGAGTGCAGGGGTGCAGGTCCAAGAAGTGAAGCCCCGCGTGTCCATCTTTCCGAAAGTGCGTGCAGTTCTATGTTCAGATGGCAGTGGGCATGTGCAACTGGCTGATCCATGCCGCCCCTGGCGCGATACTGAACGTGCCGATGCTTGCAAAAGTTTTCTGGGTGACCTGGGCTACATGCCCACTGGGAGAACTGACCATTTGGTTCACTCTACGACTAAATTCTGGTGCACAAACGAGTTGGGTTCCATTACCGTGTTTCCTCTGCATATTGGCATCAAACAGGTCCGCCAGCAAATGCAGCACCATGGTAAGAGAAAGTGGCAGAGATACGCCAACAACCTGGCATTTTTCCTTCCCAAATCCGCACATGGATCAAAGCTGAATAAGACGCAGACCGACAAGTTTGGCACAGGCATCTCCAAGGCTTTCTTCAAGGGTGTCATAGGGTTTAGGGGTTATAGGGGTTTAGGGGTATAGGGTTTAGGGGTTTAGGGTTTAGGGTTTAGGGGATGGCCCTTTCCTGCTCAAAGACTCTGGGAATCTTGTAGGCCAAGCTTTGAGAAGGCTCGGGTACATCGACGACCACTTGAACACGGACCTCTGGGAGGCCATGCTTGTGTTCGTGAATGCCTCGAAGAACAAGTATAACCTGCGGAAGCCGCTGGATTCTCTTCCCTCCGCAACAGACACAGCTGCAGAGCTGGAGGACAAGCTCCGATACGCCTTTCTTTCGCACTCGACAGATGGACAGTGGTTGCCGGCACCGAAAGATGTCCAAATACGTGTGCACCTGCACATGCAGGGTTTGCTGCCCCAGGTGAGGGCAGCACGCCGTGAGGTCTTTCGCGCAATGGCCAAGTATGCTAGCCTACACCAGCTCCCCGAGATGAGGACCTACAACGGCTATGTGTTCCGTCTCCTCTACCACTTGCAATCCAGCCCGACCAAGACTGGAGCCATCGAGATCGCGCAGCCAGAGTCGCAGGATAACAGATAACCCGGTGCGGAGCGTGGCGTGGAGTAGGGCAGCGGTTGCTGTGGCAAAGTTGAGATCAGTTTATTTGAAGTCCGCTTCACCTCAACACCTATTGTCTTGCATTCTGGTGGAGTGCATCCTTATATCAAATGTCTCGCACGGCCTGCACAAAGCACCTGTGCTTCGAAGACGCCGTCGGTCCGACACTGAGATGCACACGGAGCTAAGCAGCCAGCACGGAAGTTGCAGTTTGGCTTTGTGCCGAGCCGTCACAGCATCATAGAAACACGGAGGAGCCGCACCTGTTTTCCAGAGTGGTGGCCGCGTCGCAGCACCTGGGAATCTCAGTGCGACTTTCTTCCCGAGTGGTGGACGCTTCATGGAGCTCATGGGGTCTAATTGTGTGGTTTTTTAGTGTTGTGTGGGACTTTATCAGGTGGACGAAGACAACGTTACGGTGCAGAAGTGTAGCTGCAGCAGTCCAGAGAAAAGGGTTGCAGATGAATCGCGGCAGCGCCTTGCAGCATAAATCAGCCCGAAAAGGGTAGGTTCAGGGGAGTTAATGTGCATCCTAAACCCTAAACACTAAAC